ATATGAGGATTAACTGCACAATTGTAATGTGTACCTTGGATATTATACATTTTTCACACATACAAAATTTGTCAAAAAATACATTTTTTATTTTTTTCAAGATGTTTCCAACTCTGACTTTTAACCAATTCTGTTGAATGGCCCTACTATGGAGTGTGTGCAAGAGCATGAGGTAAAAATTGCTGGCCACAGCCACCGGTGTCGCTAATAACAAGGGTTTCTGAGTTCTACATAGAGCCATTTAACAGCTAACTATCAGCATTTTAGGAGTTAATCTTTACTGTTGACAGTGAAATAGCTTGAGCCGTCGATACAGTTTCGCAAGACTGCTTAATTTTTGACACGCTGATAAAAACACATCAAAAAAATAAAGCACGCTTGATATTTAAGTAAACACAGTCAGTTGTGTCATAGTGAACGTAAGAAATTAGAAGAAATATGAATCAATATATTGTCTAGTGTTAGGGTAAAAAAAAAACATGTTTATAAGTTGTCCAAGGAGGGGAAAGCACTTCTCTTTGTCTTGTGTGTATATCTAACTCCAGCAATACTAAAATGACACCGTCTCTTGCACTTCAAATGATTGCTCAAATTCAAAATTACTTTTATTTTAATTAAATACAGTTCTCACACCAGTATTTTTTTATGAGCAAGTATTTGTAACAAAATACTTTTTGATGTATTTGTGCCCATCTCTGGGTTAAAGTTGAACCTATAGGGGGCAGTGGAGTAAACTGTCATCTTAATTTAGGAAACTGCACCATTTGTGATGTAAAACTATTAGGGATGGGCGATACCACTTATTTTGTTTTTCGATACGATACCGATATTTTTCAAGGCAGTATCGTCGATATTGATACCGATTCGATACTTTTGCACTAAACTTTTAAATGAAGAAATGTATTAAATTATTAAATTACTAAGAGTAAAATGGGTACTAATAAGCACTTAACTTTATGTTTAAAACACATTTTAACATTCAATACGCCTTAATTGTAACTTATTAGGTTATATTTTTGTTTACACATGGTTCAAATCTATAAATACTACAGTTGAACTATGGTCACTTTAGTAAAACCATGGTTCATTTTCATAAGGGACTGCCAGTGACCGGCTGTTGCATGCATGAATTTCAACATTTTTACTTTTCTGTAACAGATATCATCACATTTTTATATTAGTGCTACCAGTATTACATTAATATTCTACCTTATTTGTAACATTTGAACTTTTGATTTAGTGCAATATGTTGTACTGCCATCAGGGACTGCCAGTGAATGGCTGTTGCATGCATAAAATGCAACCTTTTTCTTCTGACAGTGTATGATTCTTATGATACTTTTGGGAAAAGCAGCCCTGTTTGAATGCACTGTCAGCAGTGAGTGAACGCTCTCTGTGATCGATTGGTTCTGTCTTGCAACATTCGTGTGTGTTCAGATGAGCAGGAAAATAGTTCTATCCTACACAATTACTCGCTAACAAAGGTTATTCGTCTAATTCAATGCATATTGCACGCATTATATTTTTGTTAAATTAACAAAATCACTGGTAAATAAAACACACCCTAGTATCGATATTTTTACTTTCGATACTCGCGTCAGTATCGATATATCGATACTTTGGA